AAGCACACGGAGGAGATTGGCACCCTGGGGTACATTAAATAGAGCATAGCCAACAGGATGAGGGAGATCCTCCTGACCCTTTGCTCTGGTTGGGACACATCTGGAGTACTGTGTGCAATTCTGGGCTCCCCAGTTCAAGAAAGACAGGGAACTGCTGAAAAGAGTCCAGCAGAAGGTTACTAAGATTACCGGGGCCTGGAACCTCTCCTGTACGAGAAAAAGCTCAGAGCCTTGGGACTGTTCAGCCTGGAGAAAAGAAGACGGAGAGGGGATCTTGTCAATGCTTATAAATATCTAAAGGGCAAGGACTTGTGTTACTACCTGGGGCTTCCATCAGGACCTCACGCCAACGCTTCGCTCACTGCTTTCAGAGCACGCGCTGCGATGGCTGAGCGCAAAAGCAGGATGATGAGAGGCAGATAGTTTCCAGATAGAAGAAACCAGCACAACAGAAGCAGTGCATAGATAGCTGCCTTATTGAAAATAATGTGATTTTACTGCCAGAGCAGGGGGTAACAAAGTTATTCCTTAGCTGCGTCAACAGAAACAGGGCCAAACTGAAAATAAATAGGTAAACAGAATTGATGCCATCCTCTTCTGTTGCTTCAAGCAGGAGGAATGGGGCTGATGGGGCTGATGCCCATGTGCCCACTGCTCCCAGGGCTGGACAGGAGCAGACCCCATGGCTCCTGCTTTGCTTGACCCATGCCAGGGTAAAATCATAAACATTTTCCATTTAAACGAGAACTAAATTTAGGTTTTTATAGTGTCAGGGTACCTCCTTTCCCACAGTTTCCTGGAGCTATCCCAGTACAGCTCAAGTTCCCCAGCTCTCCTCTCTCGTTAAAATGTGACTCAGCTCTCCCAGCTGGAAGCACAGAGACCCACGCAGTCCCATTTTGGCCATCAGCAGCATCCCATCTTCACTGCTGCATTCACCATTAGCTTGAAGGTAGCAGAAGGCTTTGGATGGGGGGGACATGAGTGTCACTGAAGGTGTGTGTGCTCTAAGCAGCTATACAACCTGTCAGCTGGAGTTTCTCTTGCATCCCTTTTGGGAAAGTCCTCCTAGCACACAGGACTGACCAAGGACACCTGTACTACAGGCTCCAATGAAGCAGCACTGCAAAGAGCAAGTGGTTTCTTTGCCTTTAAGCATTTTCCCAAATTAATATCACATAACACTCAGATGAGTCAAAATAATGGTCATGGTAAGAAGAATAAACAAGAAGTCAATGCTAAATAGCACCACCTGGTGACACCCACTATACCCATACCAAGTTGGTTGTGTCACTATGCCAAGAGCTGGCAGATCTTCACTTGCCTTTATTTTTTTATTGGACACAGTGCTGGCACAAGGACCCCTCGGAAGTGAGCTGCTACTTTCCGGGTGCTTAAAACACCCTGGAGTCCATTGAATGCCTCAATCCTGCAGCTCAAGTGTCACCCACTGAGTCCCAGTCCTGCTGGCTTTGCCGGCAGCCCTTTATCAGCTCAGCAGGTTTCCCAGAGCAATACACCAAAAAATGCTACAGAGCTTTCTGCAAACACATTGCTTACTTAAGATTCTCATCGATTTGTAGCTTCAGTTTTTCCAGCACTGTGAAATGTCAGCACAGGTATCAAACTACCAGAAACAGCTGAACACCGTTGGTTACATCAAACAGAAAAATCACTAAACTGTTAAGCACAAACCCTCTCTCAAAGCTCTCTGCAAATCAGAAGGGATACATTGACAAAACAGCAGCAAACCTGCCACAATGTACAATCCCTTCTAACTGCAGCCACTCCTGCACGCCACAGGCGATGACTCAGTAGCTCATGAATTCCACACACCCTATTTGTTTCTACATTCAGTTCCACAAAATCGGCTCCTTGTCTACCGCCAATGACATCTGGTAGCAATGACAAGGCTTGTCTGTTGCTCAGTGGTTATTTTTTTCCTAGGAATAGAGATCCAGGCGATACGCAGCCTTGACTAGGAACCTTCCTCACACAAATGCGGTGACCCCTTTTTGCAAAGTGTTGCTTTTTGTTCCCCTCCTTGCTGCTTTTTTGTTCCCCTCCTTCCATCGCTCCCCCACAGCTGGAATGGGAATGCTGTGACAAGACCCACACCTGAGCTCACAACAGCCCTACCAGCAAGGTGCCTACCTGCTGGAAGAAGGACAAAGCCGAGGCTCACAACTTAACCTCATTTTCTTCCTTCTCCCAATTTGGTCTTAGCAAGCCTGGGACCCAAGAGCTCTCAATGAAATAGGGAATTGCCCGCTTGCTTTGTTGAAGGTGCAACGCTGAGAAACACTGCAATAATCTTGAGTTTGGCAGATAATACAGAAGGATAGAATGGATTAGGTCAGAGGCACCTAGTCACACTCATCCTGAGGCACTGAGCATTCTGGGGAGCCTTCCTCCTGCACAAGGGGCATCGGGCTGTAAGGCTGCACCGAGCTGCTGCACATTTAGTCCATTTTCACCTAGTTAAATAAAACAGTGCACACAATGTTACAGTGTTAGCAAATGGAATGCAGATATCTCTTTATGATGGGCTTGTTTGCATCTGCCCACTGTGGCATTTTGCACTGTGTGGAGCTGGATTTACTCGGCGCCGCTGGGCAATCCTATGAGTTAACTGTGTTGATTCAGCGGGTGCTACTTCCACTGAATCATTATTGATAGATCTTACTGCAAATAGTAAGGGCAAGGATTTAACTGGGAACTCAATCTGAGCTCGGATACAAGCCCTGAGACTGTCTGAAGTTGCATGACTTGCTCCAGCTCTATGAGACAGGTTAGTGGGCATGGTGGTGATGGGTTGGCAGTTGGACTAGATGATTTTGGAGACCTTTTCCAACCTTAGTGACTCTATGTTTGCTGCCTAACCTATTGCACTGCATTGCTATCCACTGCCCAGCTCCTTCCATCTCATGGCTGGTTACTCTGCAATGATGGATTAATAATCCTTCATCAGCAGAATAATTGTTGCAGAGAAAGTATATAATTGGAGATATGGAAGTAAATGGTGGGGAAAGAGGGACAATATGCAACTGAGTTTGCTCTGATAAGAAAAATTTTCTACATGGTCACTCTGAGAAATCTATCATGCGTAGCTGGCACACAAGGAAGGGGTAGGGTTCAGTTTCCAACACCTCTGAAGCACAGCCACCTGCTGCACAGCTTGCAGCAAAGCTGGGAGCCAAGACACGGAAGGTGAACAATTGCAATAAGTACAGTACATATCTGCAGGGAACAGACAGCCACTCATGTGGAAGGAAGCAGTGGGGAGGTCAGCACTGAAAGTGGGAGAGACCCTGTCCTACCTTCCTTTACAGCACTGTCATGGGAAGAAGCAGGAAAGCAGGAAAGAGCTGGAGGAGAGCAGTGCAGAGCATGGGGATATGCCATAAAAGTTGGATTGATAAGAGGGCTGGAGTAAAAGATCTGCGTGCAGAACACACAGGTCAGGGGAACACCTGGGGATGGCAATCTCAGCTTCCCATTCCCATTACAGGACTGAAAGAGCCCAAGGAGGAAGTTTATTGCAACGCCTACTGGAGAGGGATCTATCTCCAGATTAGGAGTCATGGCACGAGTGGTACCCGACTCACCCTGCAGTTCACTCACATCCTTTCAGAAGCCAGACACACAGCATGGGGCTGCTGGGGACCCGCAGTAGCTGAAGCCTGTTTTATGGGAGCAGACAGCAAGTCCTAGCTTGTCTGCCACTGTACAACGCAAAGCAAGCAACTATTTCTATACTGATAAGAGAGGAAAAGAGCACAGTAAGGAGAACTAAATAATCACAGTGCCAATATAAAGTGAGAGAAAGATATTGGAAGAAATGTTATATTATCTGTTCAGCAAAGTTCTGAAACATACCCTTCCCAGGAGAGCAGGGAGAAACGAATCACAGCGGTGTGCAATAAGGTGTAATATCATTCGGTGCTCAATCTGCTGACCTGCCAGGTCCCTTCCTGTCCCACATTCAGACGATCTGTTACACAATGGCTCTTGTACAGTGCTCACATTTTTTGAAGCAAAATTCTTGGACAGCAGCCTGGAGGGGGATTATTCACTTACAACAGCACCAAAAGGCATTACCCAGGCTCCCAGCTGCCTGCAGCTCCCTGACGCCACCTCAACTTTGGCAGCTGCGTAGTGGAAAACCAAACTGATGTGGATGGAAGAGAAAATGAGATTAGCAATGAGGGAGCTTAGGCTGTGCTCCGTTGGATGGCTGCGACCTTACTGCAACTCGGCTGACTCCAACTTTTCTTTATAACCGACTCCAGTTAGAAGTTCCCCCACAGACAGCCGGGGGAGTAGTACAGCCTGCAGTGTATGCTCAAAGCAATTCCCAGCCCCAGCAGGCTGATGCACAGCTCGCAGCACCGTTTTTGGGCACGATTTTGGGGTACTTCTCGCAGATCAGAGTACCCCAGCACGCCTACTCCGCCCCCAGCTCGCCGGAATTTAGTTCCCAGTGCTGATGTTGCAAGAAAACACTTCATCAGCGCAGAGCTGTTGAGCAAAAGGGAGGACGTGGAACGAGGGAAGTATGCAGGACTTGGGAAACCCTGCCCAAAATCCGAAGAATGCTTCAAAATAAAAGCCGAAAGCCGGGACAGACAGCGGCTGTCCGCAGCCCCAGCGGACCTCATCTCACACCTGCTGCAATCCGGACCAACCCACCGCAGCACTGCGACCGGCCCGTGCCGCCACCTCCCCGCTCCATCACCGGCGGTACGTGGAACGGAGCACCCGCACCCCGCGCCGCGTCCCATCCCCGCGCAGAGCCATCGCACCTGCAGCTCCCCCGCGGCTGAGCGATGCCTCCGACTGGGCACGGAGGGATTTCCCCTCACACCGCCTTGCTCACAGCCCGTCTGGTTCTGGGAGAGGACTCCCGACCGGGCTGCGACACACGGATAGGAATTTCAGCTCAACTCCTCTCACTGGCTCCTACCGAGCATCCCTCCCCCCGGTCCCGATGCTCTTACCGCGGCGGTCTCCTGCGGACGGGGGGCGGCGGTCGCGCAGCCTGCAGCGGACAACCAACCTCCGCCAGAGCACGAACCCGCCGGGCTCTGCCCATCCGCCCGCCGCGGCGGCCGCGCCCGGTTTAGAGGCGGGGCGGAGGTGGTGCGACGAGGGAGGGTCCGCTCCGGTCCTGGTGGGGAAGTTTGTGGAGGCTGAGCTCCTCCATCCTGGCCCTGCTCACGGCCGGGACCTCGGGTAGGGAGCGTGCGTGCCGGTATGTGCTGCTGGGCTGCTTCCTTGCTATGGTTGTACAGAGTAGAGGGGTGGCTTTGCGTTGAGAATCATGGAATCATAGAATGATTTGGGTTGGAAGGGATCTTAAAGCCCACCCAGCCCCAACCCTCTTGCATGGACTGTTTGCCCCCCACCTCAGGGGAGGATGCCCAGGGCCTCATCCAGCCTGACCCTGGGTGCCTCCAGGGACTGGGGCATCCACCACCACTCTGGGCAACCTATGCCCCTGCCTCAGCACCCTTACTGTAAAAAACTTTTTCCCTATATCCAGTCTAAGTCTCTCTCTTTAAGTTAGAAACCTTTCCCCCTTGTTCCATCTCAACAGATCCTGCTGAAGAGTCTGTCCCTTTCTTTCTTACAGCCCCCCTTTTAGACACTGAAATGCTGCTCTCAGATCTTCCTGGAGCCCTCTCTTTTTCTGGGGCTGAACAGCCCCAGCTCCCTCAGCCTTTACAAAGTGCTCCAGCTCTACAGATGAGCAGTGTAACGCTGGAGCTAAGCCTACATGTTATCAGGCAAGTAGGGAGAGTTTGGTGGCAAAGATCCTTTCCCTTTGTGGGTCAGGATGCTGCCTCTCATATTGTCTCTGTGCTGGTTTGGGGCAGCCATGCGGGGGTGGCTTTGCCATCCAGACAGAAATCCAGCAGGAAAAATCATGGATGGGAAGAAAGGGAGAGTTGACATGAAAATCCTGATCAGTGTGCTGCAGAGAGCTGCTGCAAGCTGGTGAGTGCCAAGCCTCAGACTGCTGAGTGCAATTACGGGAGGCTGGAGGATAGTTACAGGGGAAGAACACAGTGATGAGCGCCTCGGAGTCTTCAGATTGGAAAATGACACCAAAGATTTTACTCTTAAATGCTGCTTTGTTTCTAGCGAGAGAGGAGAGAAATGGGAAAAGGCTGCATCTATTGAGGATGGCAGTTAGCACATACAGCTCATCAGTTATTCTACTTAAAAGAAATGTTTCCAACCAGTATCTTATGTGATACTCAGGCACATAATTTGTTTTACAAATCTGCATTGCAGAAAAAATGGATGTGTTCCCTGGAATCTTTCTCTGAGGATTTATCCTGATTTTAAAAGAGTTATTTTTTGTTTAGGAAATACTGATTATCTTTTGCTGCTTCTGTTGTCTTTGCTTTAGCCAACATCTCTCTTCTTTATGTTTTTGCTACTTCAGTGCATGAAGAAAAATAGGGACCACAGATCTTTCATAGTTGAGCTCACTTTTCTTCTGCTCTGCCTTTTTCCTCCTGGGGCTGCCCTGGCACACAGCTGGGGTTGGCTGCACAGGGAGCAGGCAGGATGCCTTGCTCACATTGTGGTGGGACCCATGAATCTTTCTCCTCCTTTTGCCTCCTGCATGAGACCACTTAGGGCATTTTCAGCATCAGGTTGGAGGCTGGTCTCCTACCCAGTGTCTGCATGTGCTGGGCAGGGGATCATTTACTTTGTTTATCAGCTTCGTCCTTATGACCATGGGGAAGCAGGGAGGCTTCAGTGCTGTGTGCAGGAAACCATCTCTTCATGGCCTTATACCCAGGGTAGATAAAAGTCAACAAGACAGCTTGTTTTCTTTCACAGAATCGTAGAATCATTTGAGTTGGAAGGGACCCTTAAAGCTCATCTAGATCAACTCCCCTGCAATGAGCAGGGACACCTACAGCTCCATCAGGTGCTCAGAACCCCGTCCAGCCTGACCTTGGCTGTCTCCAGGGATGGGAATCCACCACCTCTCTGGGCAACCTGTGCCGGTGCCTCAGCACCCTTATCATAAACAACTTTTTCTTTATATCCAGTCTGACTCTCCCCGTATGTTGCTGCTTAACTAACCCTTACTCTCATGCTTGACATCTGTCACTTAGGCTTCCTCATCTAGACATGAAATGGACGGTGATCATCATCCTAGAACTTGCTTGTGGAAGATAACAACCACTGTGCAGGAGTGAAGAGCAAAGACAAGGCAAGGAGATAAAATAGTACTCTGTGGAAAAGCTCCTTGTTTCCACCAACATGACCGCAGCAGATATGAGCACGGGGGCGAACAGCGAGCACAAAAATGCTCCTTTGTGGGGATAAAGCCACATTGTGCATGTGTGTCCAGGGCTGGGTGTAGGCGTGGTGTGGCCGAGGGAATGCAGGCTCTGTGGATCTCAATGTGTTTTGCACCTTGAAATCTCATATCCTCAAAAAGCAGCATGACCTTGGGCTCCTCAACACTGCCTAGAGGGGGTGTGAGCAGCAAAGGTGCTTTACGTGTCTGTATTGGCATTTCCATTTAGCCCTATCACTCCAACTCTGTCCTAAACATGTGAAGTCCACTATGTGCATCGTCTCCCTTCGGTTACATCAAAACTGCTGTGACTGTGAGCTGCTTTTTCTCTTGCAATCCACTACTGGTCATTTTTTTTCCTTTGACTCAGGCCAAAAATTGATGGCCTGAGTCAAGTACCTGATCTTGGTGGGGAGTGGCCTATGCTCCCATCCCTGTAGTAGAGCTGCCCCTTGTTGCTCATTGCCACATCAAAAAAGGTTGAAAGGGTTAAGAGAAACATGGCTGCAGCATGACTGAGCTCTTAAAAAGTAAATAATTCAGTGGAGCAAGCTACTGCCCAATAGTGATTGGCCTTCCCTCCTCTGTGTTTGCACTATCTACATCAAAATTTGGATCTTTTTTCCCCTGAGCTGTTGCTTCCTGTTGTTCTGGGACCCACATCAAGTTCCTCATGTTTTACTTATGGTTATGCCCCATCCTCAGGAGAGCAGAAACATTTAGGGCTCCTGACATGGAGACAGAGCTGCAGAAGAGCTCAGGAATGCCTGTGATAAGTGAATGTTTCTGCAGACATTCTTCTTTCTTCTTTGTGGCAATTAGCTGGATTTAAATAGAGATCTGCTGTGCTGAGAACGTCATCACTGCACAGCTGCAGGAATTGTCGTCCCAAGGTCTCATGACGAGAGCTGTTTTTGTGTTTGTCCCTGCTTGGATTAAAGCAGAACTTGTTTCCAGCAGCGGTCGAGGTTAAGAGTATGTGCTGCACGGAGGGAGTTGGGATCTTTTTGTCTCTCCACTCCATGCATTTGCAATGGTTACAGCAAAGGTCAGGACGCAGAAGAGAAGTGCTTTCTGGTTTTGAGTTGTGAAGTGTTGAGTTTTCCTGACAGAGAGGCCATGGGAGGGTTTAGAGCCTTGAAGATGAAGACATTATCTGTAATATCAAATACACGATAATCTCTGTGTTTTCGTGTTCCCTGAGCCACAGGAGATTAAGGAAGAACACTGGGGAGCAATCTAGTGTTTGTAAGTCAATAATGGTGCACATAAACACGAGGATTTAGGCAGACGTTTTCAGATGCTGTAATGGGAGGCAGATTAAAAAGAAAAAGAACACTTATGAAGGCTGGAGACACAGAATGGTTGATATGCCTCCGATTGTGTAATTTAGATAAAGACTTGCTGATGTCCTATTATATAATGTAGCTAAGCACAGTCAATTTTTCTAAGGTGTTTTTAGTCACTGCCTCATATTTTGTTCTGTTAGACACGATGCTAGGAGAACGAGAGCCCTTTGTTCCATAAGGGCTCATCTGCTCCCATTGCCTCATCTCCACTTGATAGCATTACTTTCTCTATGTGCCATCTTGTTTATTTCCACAGCAACAATGATTACATCTCGATTGTGATTATAGAGAGGCTAAAAGCTTCCAGAACACAAGTCCACTGCACTTAACAAGATTCCCACATAATACACATGATCTCAACCTAGTGCATTGTATAGGACTAATAGATATGTTTCCTGTGCAATGGGACTTTATAGTGCCATGGTCCTGGCACTGATGCATTCAGCCACAACAGTCTTCTCAAAATATGGGCCAACAGGTCATGATGGGTTGATGGTTGGACAAGATGATTTCAATGGTCTTTCGAGCCTTAGTGATTCTATGATCATTTTGTACTGAGTCAGTGCTCTGGCTGCCCTATAAATCTGTCTAACTCTGAGTGCCTGATACTTGTACAAGTACAACAAAGCCACTCTTTCTGTCATTTGCTTTGGGTAAGGGGACTGGTTACAAACCCAGAAGAGGACATTCACAGATGGTCTATACACCCATTTTATCCACTGGTGGGATATCTTTCACCAAACTGTGGGTGCAGGCAATGTGAGCTCCCTATCCCTAACTTATAGGATGGTTGCATTAAGATTCATCAGCCTGGAAATGTTTCCAGCTCTGGAAGGAGAGCCTTCTGCTTTTATCTCCAGCTCGCTGGAGTTCATGTCCCCACTGCTAATAACTCAGCTAGGAGCATCCTTTGTAATGCTGTGGGTAGTTCTCAGTGATTCTCAGAATGGTCAGTGTAAAGTGAAATAGATGAAGAGAACAGGAATGACAGTGGTGTTTTGCAGTGTGAGATTAGAAGAGCTTGGCTGATGGACTGTAACAAAGTGAAGGTTTAGAGGGGATGTGATCATCTAAAAGCATTTCAGGAAAGGTGTCTGTGCCATGCAGGAACAAAATCCCCCCAGCTCCTGAAGCTTGTGAACTGTGCTGGCACAGGAACAAATGGGTGTTCATGAGGAACGAACACAGTCACTCTGGAGATAGGAAGAGGTTCTTTAGTAGTCAGAAAAGTGATATTTCTGTCAGGAGATGAAAGAAAAAAAAAACCTAGGCTAAGTTAAAAGGGAGCTTCATTGCTGTATGAAAAGCAATTGATGAGAGGTTTGCTTGCAATAGCAGAAGCCAATTTCAGCAACCACTCATGGCTTTGGTCTCATATTATTCTTTCCTTTTACTCACAGATCCCTTTGTAATCTGAAGAAATGA